CAAAACTAATAAGTAAATTAGCATTTAATATTAAGTATTAGATAGTACATTTACTGCAAAAAACGCGCAATAAACCTAGTAGGTCTCTGGCGAAATTTGTGCCGCTTTTGTTCTGTTTCAAAAGCGAATCACTACTTTCAGGAAAGAGTCAACTTCAAATGGAACAGGAAAGAAACGAATGTCGCTGTGTGATTCGAAGCCACTCGATTTGACCGTACGAATAAAGCAGTTCCCGCAAAATGCAAATGGTAGTAGCAGCAGCAGCTGTGACTGCGCAGATGAGGATAACATTGCCAATGTGAGTACACTGCTTCCTGCCCATACAGAGTTACCTCATTCACCAGCTGCTTCCATAAAGTTGTTTTGAATAGCTACTAGTCAAAAACCCGCCGAAGGGCATGGTACAATAGTGGTAAGTAGCACTGTTGCTGTGCAGAGGGTCGGAGGTTCGATCGCGCCAGTGGAATAATCAGTTTCTGTACGATTCGTTCTTTCATTTCGGTAGTAAATTGATACTGACGCATAACAGGGAGTCAAACCCGCCATCAGCTTGTAAGCAATATTCGAAAGAGAAAGCCTTGACAGTTTTACCAACGAGTGGTTGTGTTGACATTTGTTACCACTTGAAGTACGGAGCGGATATCCTATTTTATTTTACTGTGATATTTTGGTTATGTGTAATTCATGACATGGTTCTTCGGTTATTGATCTGGTAACTTTTCCATTTGCTTTGATCAGTGCTGGCGGTCAGCCTATTGGTGATGTCTGACATCTTTTTTTGTCACCTGAAGGAATTATCAGCACAACGGTTTTCCCAACAGCAGTTAATTGAAAAACGGATTTAATGAGGTATTTCAGAATAAACTGCCCTACATCCAGCTAGACAAAAAGTATCGATGTGAATGTGGCGTATCGTTCAATAGCGAAGTGACGTTAACTGGTCACAAGAAATACTACTGTAACATGAACGCAATTCATACAGCCATACCGTTCAGACAGCCTCAAAGAAAGGCAAGCTTTTTTTTAAAAAAAAAAGTCAAAACAAGACCACGATCGCCAATCATCTAGTGAAGAGCCTGATTGTTCACATAATCACGAAAAGACAGTCAAATCGGTTAAAATTCAAAAAGCAAAAAAGTATTTCTTCTCCTGGGTTCGCTGGTTGCCACCTAGATACTATTTCCCATTATTTGCTTAAAGTAGAAATTAATAGAGTTTTGGTACCCTGGAAGCCAAAAATTTACATAATTACATCCCGTTTATGTTTTTAATGCCAGGCTGGACAACTCTGATGGTCCTGTGATAAAATAGTAGAGTGAGGGATCACTCCAAATGTTTCATCCCTTAACTGTAAACACAGACCGAACCAGATAATTTAATCGACTTTGCAAACGATTTTGATAATCCTAATGATTATAAATGGACAATTTCCGTATTTAAGTGTAACAGATAAATCTAAAGATGACACAACAACGACTGGCGTATGCGAACATTTCAGTAAAATCACCAACATAGGACACCCACACTGTGTCTGCCTGGCAGAAGAAACTGAAGAACACTTATACAAGGACTTATGGTTCTGTGATACTCGCTCTCTTTTTTAAAACGGCCGTAGCAATAATTACAAGCAAAAGTTTGTGTTTATGGATGTTAGCGGTAGAAAACGACTGTTCCAGACACCTCATCGATGCCAGCAATGCGATTTTGTGCCTGCCAGTGCCAGTCAATTGGCACAACACGTTCGAGTCAATCATGCTGCAATTCAAGCTTATATTTGCCGGATTTGCGGCTACAAAGGATACTCGTTGCGTGGAATCCGCTCACATCTCAGGCAACTATTATTATAATTGTGCTGTTGCTGTTACTTGCTAATATTAATACTGATAATCCGAGCGATTTTGGTAATTAATATTGCAATATATTTTATCAAGAACTAGTGTTAATATATAGGTGCTTGCAATTTGGGATCGAAAAACCTGACAACAGCTGCATCCGGTGGGTGAGAGCATCACAGTAACATCATTAGCACCGGGTTACCACCCCGATTTTCCGGACGATCTTCATATTTCGGTCCCACTAATATATTAGAAATCATAATCCATGACCCTAATGTCATTTCATAAACACAAAATTACAGCAACCGCCGCATACGGTAGATACTGTATTCATTACTATGCCCGATAATTTTTTATTACAGTAAGAAGACAGTGACAATATTCAAGCTATCAGTACTCAACCATTTACAGGAGGCAAAACAGTGATTTATTTCATACTACTTATGCATATAACTGTGAAACAGTTTCTTGAAGTAGAAGAGTTGCTGTGTAATTTCAGGAATCATACGGAATTTGCCGGTGAAAGTATGGATGAACTGCTCAATTCACATGTACATTTCATCACTACAGGCACCAAAACTGCATACAGTACAACAAACAGTCGTCACTGCAACAGATGATCCGTCGATCTCAACGATTTTGGTGAAAACACTGTAACAGCAATTCTTGATTAATCTGAATCACATGAGATTTCGTAATTCTGAAGCAGTATTTAACCGAAAAAAAAA